CCCACAACAGACATCACCCCTCTGTGTTTTCACCTTACCTCCGTGGCCTTCCTTCTCAGTCCCTTTTCTGGCTCCTTCTCTTCTCTCAACTCCTAATTGTTGGAGTGCTGGTGATGCTTTGGCTGTTTCCCCTTTCTCTCAGTGATACCATTAAGCCCCAGGATCAATATGCAGATGACGTCCTGTCAGTATCTTTAGCCTGATCTCCCTTGAGCCCCAGGCTCATCATCCACGCCCCTGTCTACAGAAGCACCTCTTGGATGTCAGATATGTACCTCAAACACATCCAAAATAGAATTTTGACTTTTTTTCCTCCATCCACAGTGGATAATTCTATCCTCAAACATGCCAACCCCATTAGTGAGGTTGAAGTCTCTGCATTTGTGATTCCCTCTGCATGGAAATTTCTTCTCGGCCATATTCACTTAGCTGTCTCCTTCTGGTTATTCAGGTCTCAGATCACATGTTACTCCTCCTGAGACGACTTCTGGTCACACAGCCAAAAGCAGTCTCCTAGATTCTCTCTACAGAGTCTCTGGGTGGTGCAAATGGTGAAACTCTTGACTACTGGATAGAAGGTTGCCAGTTTGAATCCACCCGGAGGCAACTTGGAAGACAGGCCTGGCAAGCTGCTTCAGAAGGGTCACAGCCTTGAAAACCCTATGGAGCACACTTCTGCTCTGCACACGGGAGGTCACCATGAGTCAGAATCAACTGGATGGCAATTAACAACCACAACAAGACTCTCACTTACACTATTTTAATTCTCTGCACAGTTTGTTATTTCCTGACTTTCACTTTATTTGTTTAGTGTTTGTCTCCCACTGAAAGGTAAGCTCTGAGAGGGTGGGGTGTGTCTGTCTTGCCCACTGCCATGTTGCCAGTGCCTGGAACAGGCCTGAACCTTGGATGGGCTCAGTGAGTATTTGGTGAATGGCGAAATTCAAGAACCCTGCTGGTGCAATGGTTAAGTGCTCGGCTGCTTAGGAAGCCCTATAGGACAGTTCTACTCTGTCCTATAGGGTCACTATGAGTTGGAAGCTAGTGACAGCATACAACAAAACAGATGAAGTCACTCAATTTCTTTAGCCCTTAATACCCAACTCAGAGAGTGGGTCATTAGAAAGTTGGAATTTTGTCTATTTTTTTCTTCTAAATTTATTTTTTGTTGTTGTTGTTGAGAGTATACACATCAAAACATACACCAATTCAGTAGTTTCTACATGTACAATTTAGTGACATTGATTACATTTTTCGAGTTGTGCAACCATTCTCACCCTCCTTTTCTGAGTTGTTCCTCCCTCATTAACATAAACTCATCGCCCCTTAAGGTTCCTATTTAATCTTTCGAGTTGCCATTGTCAATATGATCCCTATATATAGTTCTTAAAAGAGCTTAACGCTCAATGCAGACATTTTCTTTTTTTAATTGTGCTTTAAGTGAAAGTTTACAGCTCAAGTCAATCTCTCGTACAAAAATTTATACACATATTGTTATGTGACCCCAGTTGCTGTCTCTATAATGTGACAGTGCACTCTCCCTTTCCACCCTGGGCATCCTGTGTCCATTCAGTCATCTCCTGTCCCTTTCTGCCTTCTCATCCCACCTCCAGACAGGAGTTACCCATTTAGTCTTGTGTATCTACTTGAACTAAGAAGCACACTCTTTATGAGTATTATTTTATGTTTTATAGTCCAGTCTAATCTTTGTCGGAAGAGTTGGCTTTAGTTCTGGGTCAACAGAGAGTCTGGGGGGTCATGCCTTCTGGGGTTCATCTAGTTTCAGTAAGACCATTAAGTCTGTTCTTTTTATGTGAATTTGAGTTCTGCACCACAAGTACTCTCTGTTGTGTTCCTCATTGGTGGTAGCCGGGCACTATCTAGTTCTTCTGGTCTCAGGTTGATGGAGACTCTGGTTTATGTAGCCCTTTTGTCTCCTGGGCTAATATTTTCCTTGTGTCTTTGGTGTTCTTCATTCTCCTTTACTCCAGGTGGGTTGGGACCAATTGATGCATCTTAGATGGCCTTTTGCAAGCTTTTAAGACCCCAGATGCCATTTCACCAAAGTGGGATGTAGAACATTTTCTTAACAGATTTTGTTATGCCAATTGACCTAGACGTCCCCCGAAACCATGGTCCCCAGACCCCCACCCCTGCTACTCTGTCCTTTGAAGTGTTTGGTTGTGTTCGGGAAGCTTCTTAGCTTTTGTTTTAGTCCAGTTGTGCAGACTTCCCCTGTAGTGTGTGTTGTCCTTCCCTTCACCTAAGATAATTCTTGTCTACTATCTAGTTAGTGAACTCCCCTCTCCCTCCCTCCCTCCCCACTCTCGTAACCATCAAAGAATGTTTTCTTCTGTTTTAAACCTTTTCTTGAGTTCTTATAATTGTGGTCTCATACAATATTTGTCCTTTTGTGACTGACTAATTTCAGTCAGCATAATGTCAAGGCAGACATTTTTTACTAGTTAAGCTAAACTATTGTTTGGTTTTAAGAAGAGTTTAGGGAATATTTTTGGTTTGAGGTTTAAAGATTATCTCAGGGCAATAGTTTCAGGGGTTCATCTACCCTGCATGGTTCCAGAAAGTCTGGAGTCCATGAGAATTTTAAATTCTGTTCTGCATTTTCACGCTTTTGATCAGGATTCTTTTATGGAATCTTTGATCTAAATGTTCAGATATAGTAACCAGGTACCATCCAGTTCTTCTGGTCTCAATGCAAAGGTGGGAGCTGTTCATGTAGGCAGTTAGCCACATATTCCATATCCTTTCCTGTTCTTGACTTACCTTCTTCCTCTGCTGCTCCTGGTGCATAGAGACAAATTGTGCCTTGGATGGCCGTTTGCAGGCTTTTAAGACTGCAGGCACTACACAATGAACTAGGAGGTAGAACAGAAGTACTAAACAAATTATTCAGCCAATTAATTGGGATGTCCCATGAAACCATGACCCTAAACATCCAAACCAAGGAACCAAATCCCATGAGGTGTTTGGTTGTGCATAAGCAGCCTCAGTACAAAGAACAAGAAAGAGCACTTGGAAATTACAAATGCAATAGCTACACAAAAAATTCAGTGAAAGGTTTGGAAGATAGTCAGTGAAATCAACCAGGAAGTAGAATAAAAAAGACAAGCGATGGAAAATAAGAGAGATACAATAAGGCATTTAGAGTATCAACTCAGGAAGCCCAGCATTTGACGAATAGGAATTTTAGAAAGAAAAAAGAGAAACGAGAGGGGAAGAAATTGTCAAAGAAATCCCAAGCAAATATGTATTGGAATGGAAGGATGTGAACCTCCGGATCGAAAGCACCCTAAGTGCTCAGCACAAGAAATGAAGGAGAATTTACCAAGGCTTACCATTTAGGAAAGCCCCGAACATCAGTGATAAAGAGAAGACACTAGATGCTTCCAGAGAAAAATTAATGCCCCAAACAGAAGAATGAGGATCAGAATGGCAGTACTGGATGCTGGAAGATGAAGAAGTAAAGTCTTTCACATTCTGCAGGAAAAGGGTTTGCAAATTTTATGATCAGCTAATCTAGCAGTTACTTGTGACACTTTCAGACAAGTAAAGACTCAGAAAATGTCTATGTGTCTTTCTCTAAGAATTATTGGAAGATGTGTTGCTGCCAAATGAGGGAATAACCAAAAAAGAAGACATGGGGACAAAGGACCAGGGGTTCAACCTCAGGATGCCCCAGAGCAAGTCCTGAGATCTGGATGGCCACCAGTGCAGACTGGAGAAGAAGGGGATACAGCCCTGGGGAGAAGGGGAGCATCTCTTGGAAAAAGAGAACTGCTGTATTGCCTGTTATAATAAGAAGCATTTGCTTAATTACAGAGAAAGATTGACTATAGATTGGAGAGAGATTTGAGAAAATTCAATGTTCAACTTCAAGATAAAACAACCATTAAATCAGGAAAAAAAAAGTTAAAGGAAAAGTAGTCATACTACCATACTTTACTGAATCTAAGATGCCATTAATTGTAAAGTGCATCATTATTTTTTTATTACCGAGACAGAAAAAAAATGCTGCCAATTTAAAAGACAGGTCCTGGGTTGTGAGACATACTCATATTCCAGAGATATTAAAAAGTTAAAAATGTGCTGCTTAGAACTGCCGAAAATAGCACCCTATTTGGCTTTGCAGTGAACTATATTTATACTGATTATCGATTTAATCACAAATGGTGATGTAAATTTATTGCGAGAATTGGGAGAGAAGTATGAGTATGTACTTGTGTAAACACTCCTTTACTAAAAAAAGAAAGGAAGTAATGTCTAGAATTGATCAATCAAGAATTAGCAGCGTTATTCAGAACATGGGTGTAACTACCTGAAGGAACAGCCAAAGTAATTTAAAGAGGTGGCCTCTGAATACTGGCCTGATGGGGGGGTGGGGTGAAGTGCTTTAGAGAACTGCTGTTTTTCATTATAAGCCTTTAGTACTATTTGATTCTTTTCACATATGCATGTTACTTTGAAGTAAACAATGGTAGAGGGAAGCACACACATACACACACACGATGTTTTTGGAGTTTAAAAATGGGACAAAAATGAGAAACATTTAAGGTCCCCAAACATGCTCTCTCCCTGAAATAGCTTATCATGACATTGGTTAAGTTATAATCATATCCTGCTTAATTGGCTCCCAGGAATTACAGGCACACACATACACACCACACACACACACACACACACACACACACACACACACACTAGAAGCATGGCTAAGGAGTCTGCTCATCTTTGCAGAAAGCCTTTGAGTTTACACGTTGTTCCACATACGTCAGCCCATTTGATCCTTACTGTAGCCTTGTCAGTCAGGTGTAATTCCTGCCATTTCACATGTGTAGAGGCTGAGACATGGGGGCCACTGTTGGCCCGCCCCACCATGTGGCAACTCAGTCATAACTGGGCTGCAGAATCACAGAGGCACTTCTCCTCCCTCATGGAATGTCAGTGTCACCTGCTGTCATTCTGTCCCCTTGATGTTTTAGAGGAAAGAGGAAGAGGAGAGGAAGCAAGGAGAAGAGCAGATCCGCCTCCAGGAGGAGCGCAGGGCAAAGGAACTCTACTGGACCCTGAAGCAGGCCCAGATGCAGAGCCACGCCAGTGAGAAGGAGGAGCGCGAGTGGGAAGAACAGTGTGAGTAGAGCTGGCCTTTCCCACACACCCTCCACCCACCGGCTTGTTAGCTCACTTATCAGTTCAGTTGTTCACTAATTGTCTTTACCAAGGGCCAACCATGTGCTTGGTTCTGCCGAGGATCCATGGGTAAGGACTCTGCCCTCAAGGAGCTTATGCTTTAGCAGGGAAATTTTCTTAATATTAAAAAATAAAAATTGACATTTCTTGAGTAACCAATAATTTCCTGACTCTGTGCTAAGACCTGGGGACCCAGAGATAAGGAATCATGGCCCTTGTCTTGGAGGAAATAGCTGACGGGAGGAGATAGACACACAGACTTTGAGAGAATGTACCACATGTAGTTGGAGGTCAAAACTGCTGTCCTGGTGGTGTTCCAGATGAGGAGCATTATGAGACTTGATGGAGAAGTAGGAGGTATCTGAGGCAAAGAGACTGAAAAGAGTCCTCTAGTCGGAGGACCAGTATGTGCAAAGGTGTGATGACAAAGGGATGTGGCATGCTTAGGAAGCTGGAGATGTGTGGGGTGGCTAAGGCTTGGAGAATGTAGGGGTGGTGAGAAGTTAAGTGGGAAAGGGCAGGTGGAACTAGATTTGAAGAGTGGATGGTGGGAAACTTCTAATGGCAAGTGACATGATTAGGACCAGGTTTTGGTGTGAGACAGAGGAGGAGGCTGTTGCAATGGCACAGGTTAGAGATTATTGGGACTAGGGCTGCAGCAGGGGCTGGAGAGTAGGGATGTGAGGTGCCTTCCTCTGACAGGCCCTCTGTTCCTCAGCACTTCTTAACCATGTGCCAGATTCTTTAAACAGAACTAGGAGGTAGAACAGAAGTACTATTTTTGGGCTAATTAACGGATATCTCATGAAATCATGACCCTCAACCTCCAAACCAAGAAACCAAATCCCACATGGTGTCGGGTTGTACATAACCTCAGCAGCTACTCTTCTTTTTTTCTGTTGTTGTAAAAATATCTACCACACAACATTTGTCGATTCAACTTGAGTGACATCAGTAATGTCAATTGATTGTGCAACCGTTACCCTTAATCAGTACTGATTTTCCATCGCCATAAACAGAAACTCAGTGCTCCATAAGCAATACCAAAAAAAACCCAAACCATTGCCGTCAAGTCGATCCTGACTCCTCCCCTTTTCCCCCTTCCCTCCAACCCCTGGTAACCACTAATAAACCTTGGCCTCTATATATTTACCTGTTTTTATATAAATGAGGTCATGCAATATTTTCCTTTTGTGATTGACTTATTTCACTCGACATAATGTCGTTAAGCTTCATCCATGTTGTAGCATGTATCAAGACTTCATTTCTCTTTCTGGCTGAATAGTATTGTATGTATGTACCATATTTGGTTTATCGATTCATCTGTTGATGGGCATTTAGATTGTTTCCACCTTTTGGCTGTTACGAATAGTGCTGCAGTGAACATCGGCATACATATGTCTGTGTTCCTGCTTTCAAGTCCCCTAGGTATATTTCTAGCAGTGAAATTGCTGGGTCATATGATAGTTCTATTTTTAGTTTTTTTGAGGAACCACTGCACTGTTTTCCACAACAGCTGTACCATTTTGCGTTCCCACCAGCAATGGATAAGGGTACCAATATGTCCACATTCTCGTCAACATTTGTTATTTTCTTATTCTTTTTTTTTTTTTAAGTCTTAGAAATCCTAGTGGGAATTAAATGGTATCTCATTGTGGTTTTGACTTGCATCTCTCTGATGGATAAAGATATTGAGCATCTTTTCTAGTGTTTTTTTGTCATTTGAATATCCTCTCTGGTGAAATGCCTATTTGAGTATTTTGCCCATTTTTTAATTGGATTATTTGTCTTTTTTTGTTATTTAGTTGTTCAAGTTTTATATGTATTTTGATTATTAGATTCTTATTGGACATATGATTTCTGAAGACATTCTCTCAATTGGTAGGTTGTCTTTTCACTTTTTTGGTAAATTCTTTTGATGAACAAAATATTTAATTCTTGTGAGGTCTTATTTATCTGTTCTGCTTTTTGCTGTTCCTGCTTTTGTTATTGATATATCAGGTAATCCATTGTTAAAAGCTAGGCCCAACAGCCTTGTGCCTATATTTTCTTCTAAGAATTTTGTGGTTTTATTGTTCGTTTTATAAGACTGTCTAATCTTTGGCTGAAGGGTTAACTTCAAGACTGACTTTAGTACTGAATTAAAAGCGTGTTCGGGGGCCATACTCTCAGGGGTTCTCCAGTATCTGTTAGACCAGTAAGTCTGGTCTTTTTTTGTGAGTTTGAATTTTGTTCTATATTTCTCTCCCACTCTGTTCGGGATGCTCTATTGTGATGCTTGTCAGAGCAGTTGGTGGTGGTAGCCGGGCACCATCTAGTTGTTCTGGACTCAGTCTGGTGGAGGCTGTGGTAGTTGTGATCCATTAGTCTTTTGGACTAATCTCCCTGTGTCTTTGGTTTTCTTCATTCTTCTTTGCTTCAGACGGGATGGACCAGTATCTCAGATGGCCACTCAAGCTTTTGAGACCCCAGACACTGCTAACCAAAGTAAGATATAGAACATTTTCTTTATAGACTATGTTATGCCAATTGAGGTAAATGTCCCTCAAGACCATGGTCCCCACCCCTCAGCCCAGTAACTTGGTCCCTCAGGAAGTTTGGATGTACCTCTGGAGTTTCCATGCCCTTGCGTTGGACAAGTTTTGCTGGCTTCCCCAGCATTATGTACTGTCTTACCCTTCACCAAAATTACCACTTATCTGTTGTCTAGTTAGTGTTTTTCCTTCCCCACCCTCTCTAGTAACCATCAAAGATTGTTTCTTTCTGTGGTTAAACCTTTTCTTGAATTTTTATAATAGTGGTCTCATACAGTATTTGTTGTTTTGTGATTGACTTATTTCACTCAGCATAATGCCTTCCAGATTCAACTGTGTTGTAAGATGTTTTGATTCATAATTGTTCTTTACTGTTGTGTAGTATTCCATTGTGTGTATGTTGTTTATCCATTCATCTGTTGATGGGCATTTAGGTTGTTTCCATCTTTTTGTTATTATGAATAATGCTGCAGCGAACATGGGTGTGCATATATTTATTCGTGTGACAGCTCGTATTTCTCTAGGATATATTCCTTGGTGTGGTATTGTTGGATTGTATGGTATTTCTGTTTTTAGCTTTTTAAGGAAGCACCATATCGTTTTCCAAAATGGTTGTACCATTTTGTATTCCCATCAGCAGTGCATAAGAGTTCCAGTCTCCCCACAGCCTTCCAACATGTGTTATTTTCTGTTTTTTTGACTAGTGCCAGTGATGTCGGGGTGACATGGTATCTCTTTGCAGTTTTGATCTGCATTCATTTCTCTAATGGCTAATGATTGCCAGCATTTCCTCATGTGTCTGTTAGCCGCCTGAATGTCTTCTTTGGTGAAATGTCTGTTCATATCCTTTGCCCATTTTTAAATTTGATTTTTTGTCTTTTTGTTGTAGAGGTGTTGGATTTTCCTATAGATTTTAGAGATTAGATTTTTGTCAGATATGTCATAGCCAATTTTTTTCCCCCGGTCTATAGGTTCTTTTGTTACCTTTTTGGTGAAATCTTTTGATGAGCACAAGTGTTTAATTTTTAGGAGATCTAAGTTATCTAGCTTATCTTCTGGTGTTTGTGTATTGTTAATTATGGTTTGTATGCTATTTATGTTGTATGTAAGAGCCCTCTAGCGTTGACCTCATTTTTTCTTCCATGATCTTTATAGTTTTTGGTTTATATTTAGATCTTTGATCCATTTTGAATTAGATTTTGTGTATGGTGTGAGGTATGGGTCCTGTTTCATTTTTTTACTGATAGAGACATCCAGTTTTGCTGCACTATTTGTTAAAAAGACTGTCTTTTCCCCATTTAATGGACTTTGGGCCTTTGTCAAAGATCAAGTGTCTGTAGGTGGTACATTTCATTGTACCAGTACCAGGCTGTTTTGACTACTGTAGCTGTATAGTAGGTTCTGAGGTCAGGTAGTATGAGGCTTCCTACTTTCTTCTTCTTTTTCAATAATGCTTTACTTATCTGGAGCCCCTTTCCTTTCCATATAAAGTTAATGATTAGTTTTTCCTTCTCGTTAAAGAATGCTGTTGATATTTGCATCAGGATTGCATTGTATTTTTAGATTGTTTTTGGTAGAATTGTCATTTTCACAATGTTGAGTCTACCTATCCATGAGCATGTATGTTTTTCCATTTATGTAGGTCTCTTTTGGTTTCTTGCAGTAGTGTTTTGTAGTTTTCTTTGTATAGGTCTTTTACATCCCTGGTTAAATTTATTCCTAAGTATTTTATTTTTTTAGGGGCTGTAATAAATGGTATTGTTTTCCTCATTTCCTTTTCATAGTTTATTTATTGGTGTATAGGAATCCAACTGATTTTTGTATGTTTATCTTGTATCCTGATACTCTGCTGAATCTTTCTATTAGTTTCAAT